AGAACCCTCTGTTGTGATCCTGGTCAGAGCAGTCAGTGGTGGTAGCCGGGCACCATCTAGCTGTACTGGACTCAGTCCGGTGAAGGCCTTGGTAGCTGTGGACAATCAGTCCTTCGGACTAATCTTTTCCTTGTATCCTGTTCTCTTCATTCTCCCTTGCTCATTCATGTAACTTTTATTACAGTATATTGGTTTAATTGTTCTATTTTATTATTAGTTATTGTTCATCTCTTACTGTGCCTAATTTATAAATTAAACTTTATCATAGGTATGTATGTATAGAACAAAACACAGTATATATAGTGTTCGGTACTATCCATGGTTTAAGGCATCTACAGGGGTCCTGGAACATATTCCGTGAGGGTAAGGGGGGATTACTATATATTCAGTATTCTTTGCTAACACCATAATTAAATGCATCAATTCTTCTTCTTTCTTCCTTATTCCCTGTCCAGCTTTTGTATGCATACGAGGCAATTGAAAATACCATGGCTTGGGTCAGGCGCACCTTAGTCCTCAAAGTGACATCTTTGCTTTTTAACACTTTAAAGAGATCTTTTGCAGCAGATTTGCTCAATGCAATAAGTTGTTTGATTTCTTGACAGTTGCTCTCGTGGGCGTTGATGGTGGATCCAAGTAAAATGAAATTCTTGACAACTCCAATCTTTTCTCTGTTTATCATGGTGTAGCTTATTGGTCCAGTTGTGAGGATTTTTGTTTTCTTTATGTTGAGGTGTAATCCATACCGAGGCTGTGCTCTTTGATCTTCATCAGTAAGTGTTTCAAGTCCTCTTCACTTTCAGCGAGCAAGGTTGTGTCATCTGCATAATACAAGCTGTTAATGAGTCTTCCTCCAATCCTGATGTCACATTTTTCTTCATATAGTCCAGCTTCTTGGATTATTTGCTCAGCATACAGATTGAATAGGCATGGTGAAAGGATACAACTCTGATGCACAGCTTTCCTGACTTTAAACTGCACAGTATCCCCTTGCTCTGTCTGAACGACTGCCCCTTGATCTATGTACAGGTTTCACATGAGCACAATTAAGTGTTCTGGAGTTAACATTCTTCGCAGCGTTATCCATAATTTGTTATGATGCACACAGTTGAATGCCTTTGCATAGTCAATAAAACACAGGTAAACATCTTTCTGGTATTCTCTGCTTTCAGCCAGGATCCGACTGACATCAGCAATGATATCCCTGGTTCCACGTCCTTTTCTGAATCTTCTTGAATTTCTGGAAGTTCCCTGTCGAGATCCAGATAGCAACTCCCCTTATTCCCAACCCTTCAAACCAGTTCCCAGCTCACAGGAGGCACTCAGTGTCTGCTAAATGAAGGAGGAAATGAATAAAGAATTTGTCTATCCTGGATTGATGGCTACTTCTAATAGTGGAAATCCCTGAATATGTCAGGATCAGGTTCATGAACAGATCCAAATAAATTACAGAGCCTAAGACCCAGTAAAGAAAACCATGACAGCACAAGATGCCACAGTCCACTAGAATCACAGTGACTGACAGACATTTTCAGCTTTACCTAGCTGCCCTTAAGTAGCCTTTATCCTCTAGATTTGATTCTTCTTCTGCAGCTACTTCCTCACAGATCAAAACAGCAAAGACTGGGAATGACATTGAGATTTAACCTACTACAGCTCAGAAGCACGGATGGTGGGATTGACGAGGAGGCTAAGAGAACTGTTATAGGGAGGATTTGTGCTAAGTGAAAGGGCTGGCTGGCTCTCTGATGGTAATAGTGTCAAATAACAGCTAAGAAAACTGGGTCTGGCAGCACTGCTGCAGTGTACAACTCCAAGGGGCAACATCACATTATACCAAAAAAAAAAACACCAAATCTGGTGCTGTTGAGTTGATAGCGTCTGTGAATAGCACCCTCTGGAGTCGTGCCATGTCTGGTCTGCATGGCTGTGAACAGAGGTCATGGATCTGGGAAGCCCCTTCAGGATTCAGGTGTGCTGAAAACATCTTAAGTCTCTCTCATGTAGACCGATCAGGTTGTCTATTCTAAAACTGACAATGACCCCTCAAAAGCAAAGAGCCATACAGGAAATATGAATGACAGCACAATTTCTTCACAATACCAGACCAGGACAGTTAACTGTTATTTTCTTCTTTCCCTTCTTAAAGTACAAAAAATGTAGATGCTATACAGTTCATCAGCCAATGATCAATTGTTCCAAGTCACTGGCCCATCTTCATAGAGTCATCAGAATGTTACAGCTAGAAGATCTACATTAGGAACACAGATAAAATCCCTCATTTTAGATCTTCGCCACCACCAATCCATCACCTCCTCATGTCCCCCTGACCAACACCAACATCAACATCAACATCAACACCAACACCAACACCAACTTCCCTTCTATCAAAGTGTATAGAAGGAGAAGATTTGATTGGGTCTTGATAGCTGTCTTCAAATATGGAAGAGGACGTAACTATGAAAAATGGAAGAAGCTGCAAAGAGGTAGATTTCACCTTGATGAAAGAAGAAACTTCCTAACAGCTGGAGACAGTGAAATCAGCTGTTGTGTAAGGTAAGCTGTCCTAATCATCTAGTGCTGCTCGAACAGAAATACCACAAGTGGATGGCTTTAACAAAGAGAAATTTATTCTCTCACAGTCCAGTAGGCTACAAGTCCAAATTCAGGGCATCAGCTCCAGGGGAAGGCTTTCTCTGTCGGCTCTGGAGGAAGGTCTTTGTCGTCGTCAATCTTCCCCTGGACTAGGAGCTTCTCTGTGCAGGAACCTCAGGTCCAAAGGACATGCTCGGCTCCTGGCACTGCTTTCTTGGTGCTGTGAGGTCCCTCTTCTCTGTTTGCTTCCCTTTCCTTTTATCTCTTGTAAGGTAAAAGGTGGTGCAGGTCACACCCTAGGGAAACTCCTTTTACACTGGATCAGGGATGTGACCTGGGTAAGGCTGGTGTTACAATCCCACCCTAAACCTCTTTAACATAAAATTACAATCACAAAATGGAGGCCAACCACACAGTTCTGGGAATCATGGCCCAGCCAAACTGATACACACATTTTTTTGGGGGACATAATTCAAACCATGACATAAGCTAACTAAAAATACTAAAACAAAAATGGATGAACTCTTATCTGGGATGCAGCAGAAGGATTACAGGTTATGAAGAACATCTATCCACTAATCCAACCATCTTCAAGTAACTAACTCCTACTTATCCCTCAAACTCAGTTCTGGTGTTACCTCCTTCAAGGGAGAGTCCTCTTTGACTCATTCTGCAGGCTGAGCTAGCAGCCCCTTCTATAGGAAACCCAATCCTTTATGTATGCCATTTCCATTGCCTTTACCATGCCATACTGGAATTCTCTATTTGTCTGTAATATCCAAAAAAAACTCATAGCTTCAGGAGGGCAGAGTTTGAAGCTTATTCATTTTGTATTCCTAACACTACTGCAGCATCTGATACACATAAAGTCTCAATATATTGTACTGAACTAAAAAATAATAGTAACTAAAAAGATTAAGCACTATTCCAAGTCCGTCACATATTTTAACTCATTTAATCCTCAAACAACCCTGTGAGGTTGGTATTCTTATTTTCCCCAGTTAACCGAGGTTAAATAACTTGTTCAAGGTTGCCAACTAAAACAAGTATGATCTCGAAGGTTCCTTTTTAACTCTGAAATTACATTTTTTTAATCATTGGTACTTCAGGGATAAATGATTCTTTCTATCTACTTTTCCCCCTTAATCTTGTTTCTTTTTGATGAAGAGCTTCAAGTACATGAATCAGGAGAAGTACTGCCCACATGTCCCCTTTCTGCCCCTGGGTTTACCTTGGGGAGAAGGCAGCTGCAATTTGTCTGTGATCACTTGTGTTAGTACCGAGCCAGTATCTTTGTAACTACAGAATCGGGAGGTCCCACTGGAGCGCTTAGTAGAACAGATGGCAAAACGGTGGAAGGGAACAAAGTCTCCCCCATGGCAGCTTCCACAGCGGCAGGCCAAATCTCGGAGAAAGCAGGCACATTCAAGGTGCAGGGCTATCTGTTGTTCCCTGGGCCACAGCTCCCACGCAGCTTCTCGTAAGAGAGGCAATCCAAATTCTAGCACCTCAGTTTCAGGTGGGGGTTGTTCCTCATGCAGCCTGAGAGGAGAGGCTGAGCCAGTATCTGAAATATAGAAAAATCTAAGTGAGAGTCTCTCTTTAAGTCCTTGTATGCTACAATGTGGCAAACTCCCAAGTACACAGGTGCTGGTTTATAAGAAAATTCTATTTACATCTCCTGGTTGGTATTACTGTCTCCTTTGTATAAAGAATTCTGCACCAATCCGAGAGTGATATTGACCATAATTAGTATAAGGGGGAAGAAAGGATCAGGGATATAGAAGTACACTGGATAGATTTCTTAATTAATCCTCCTAAATTGAGCTTAGGAGCCCTGGTGGCACAGTGGTTAAAGCATTTGGCTGCTAACTGAAAGGTCTGCGGTCTGAACCCACCAGCCGCTCCACAGGAGAAAGATGTGGCAGTCTGCTTCTGTAAAGATTTACAGAATTTAACTACCCTGTGGGACAGTTCTGCTCTGTCCTAGAGGGTTCTTTATGTGTCAGAATTGACTTGATGACAATGGGTTGGGTTTGGTTTGGGTTTGGGTAAGGTGACTTTTTTTATTTTAAATTATTATAAACATCAAATCACCAAAAGTGCCCAAACATATTTCAAAGTCAAAGGGACATTATTGGTGGATTATATGCTTTAGGTAGTCTAAGCCACAATTTTATTCTTCATGTGAAGAATTTGAGATTGTAAGCTATTTAATTATATCTTGCTTTGTTCATGTCTGTTTCAATACCATGTGTTTATCTTCCTTGTGAATTTCTAAAAATAGAAATGGTTTGTCCTCTTTTCTCATCATTTACACCTAGAAGCCAACAAAGAATTATGTAATATTTACTGAACCAAAAATCAAAACACAACTACTGACACACAGGTTAACAAGGAAATTGAATTCCTGAGTTTAAGCCTATCCTGAAAACTACTGGACATTTTTTCACTATAACCGTGGCTCCTTCATGATTAAAATGATCATTCTTTTCCTGTTTCTTAGCTTTATGCATTAAGAGGCAGAGGCCCCTCATATATGATACTGATGGCCTTTCTGAACAGAGATACTCACATCTGGGGTTTTTGGTTCGGGCCTGAGAACAAGGGAGCAGCCTTTCCTCACCTGAATTCTTCTTCTCTTCAGTTTGTTCAATGATCTCAATAGAGGGAGGCACTAATATTGGCTGAGCAGGAAGCTCTTGGCTCTTGTTGAGCCAGTGGAACACGTGTATATCCACAAGAGCCCTCAGCACCTGCAGTAGCTTATTTTTATCCCAGCCAGGCAGGAGGTGCAGCAGCAGATCTATGTGGAAGGAGTGACCGATGACTGCAGCACACTTGACCAGCAACTGTTCCTCTGGGCTCAATTGATCCAGTTGGTTTACTGCTATTTCTACAACAAAAATAAAATCAACAATGAAAAAGACTTCTACATATCTAGAATACGTACACTGTGTTGATAATCTGTCCATCCTTTAAAAAAAAAAAAAGTATGCTTTTTTGTCCACTCCTACCTACTGCCTTGCTTTAGTCCTCCCTTCTCCACTCAGCCTCATCTCTTAAAAGATCCTATCTTTACGTCCTCACTTCTCACTCACTCTTACAGTCAAGAGCAATCAGGTTTCTACGACACCACTGAAACTGCTCTCTTCATAGTCACCAAAACCTTTTGCTAGTAGACCCAAAGCAGTGTTCTGAATCACTCCATTATACTATCAATCCTTTCCATTTTCATGACCTATTAGTACCAGGCCTTTTCTTTCCACTTCCAACTAAACATATAGGTCAGGCTTCCTGGTCCCAGATCTCTGATACTTATAAAGACCTGACTTAACTCCAAGCTTTTTAGTAATCTCTCCGTATTCTGATCCATATATTAAAGCACTTGGTATTGGGCCAGTAAGTCACCAAGCCCAAAACCTTGGAATAATTCTAAATCCTTCCCTTTCCCTCACAACTAACTGGTCATTTACTCATCCTCCTAAAATGCCTCTTTCTTTTTTTTTCCTAAATGCCTCCTGAATACATTTTCTCCTGAACAGTTTTAATACAAGTAGTCATTTTTACCTGGATTACTACAATACCCTCTGCTAACTGTTTTGGACATCCCCAATTTCCTCATTCTTATTCTAATAATGTACTAACTAGGGATGGAATTATATATCTAAAGTACAAATATAATCATGTCAGTCTCCTTCATAAATCCTTTTAAAACTAATATGGCCATTCACAATCTAACTTTGGCCTTTCATTTCATCCAAGGCTTTGCTGATTGAGCTATTCATGTTAGTTTGTGAGTTAACAAACTTTTTCCTTTCCTATGGACAATGTACAAACCCTAGTGATGGTTAAGCACTCAGCTGTTAACTGAAAGGTCGGAGGTTTGAACCCACCAGCTGCTCTGCAGGAAAAAGATGTGGCAGCCTGCTTCCATAAAGATTTACAACCTTGGAAACCCTCTGGAGCAGTTCTGCTCTGTCCTTCGGGGTCACTATGAGTTGGAATAGACTTGACAGCAGTGGGTTTTTGGTTTGGATGGACAATGTTGACTTTGGGTTAATTTTCTAGCTTTGTTTCCTTGAATTCTGATAAAAGCAGAATGTCAGCTGTGTTACCAGGTAACATTGCTTGTGTTAATAATGACCTATGATTGGGAAACTGAATTTGGACTGGGAAAATGGTGACTGAACTATAAATATCTGGTGGTAAGCCATAGCTTTGGGCTACTTTGGGTGTAATTCTTGTAACTGGTTATGTCCCTTGCAGGGCCTGAAAACTATGCTTATGGGACTGTTATAAGAGATACCAGTTCCTATTTGGGACCTAGACCTTCTAAGCACCTATCCAAAGTGGGCATTATACGCATGTAATAGCTTATAATGGCTAACATTCATTGAATATTTATTATGTGCCATGATTTATTTAATCCTCAACTAACCCCATGAGATAGGGGCAATTACTGTCCCCATTTGACTGATGAGAAGACTAAGGCTTAGACAGATTAGCTAACTTTTCCAAGGTTCCACAGCCAGTAAGTGGAGGAACCAATGGTACCCAGGTTTTTCTGACTCCAGAGCCTTGGCTCTTAACTATCGTGGTCTTCCGTCCTGCTGTTTCATGTGCATGTCATATATTCTCAACAAGACCATACTTTACTTGAAGTTATGCTTGTTCATCATTATATCCTTCAGCAGGCTTAAAACAGTATCTCGCCCACCAAACACCTGAATAGAACATTAAATAAAACAAAAAACTCATCTCTTCTAAGAACACTCCCCTCTAATTATGTCTACTCAATTTTAAAGGCTTCTTTATTCTTTATCCCATCAGTCACTCATTACAAACACATCTTATGCAGTGGTTAAGAGATACGGCTGCTAACCAAAAAGTTGGCAGTTCAAATTCACCAGCTGCTCCTTGGAAACCCTGTGGGGCAGTTCTACTCTGTCCTATAGGGTCACTAGGAGTTGGGATCAACTCGATGGCAATGGGTTTTTTTGTTTTTTGGTACATGCTTTATACTGAACTCCTACTACATGCATAACACTGTCTCTTCACCAGCACCGTGGATTTCCCTAAATTGCTGCAACATTATCCTTGCTTACTGTTACCTTCAGCACAGGAATAAGCACAAATGGAAACTGAGGACCTAGTTGTTTATTAAAAAACTGGAAAATTTTCCAGGTCATCAGTCAGCCCCAAAGAGAACAACTGGCTCATTTAATTAAAACATTACTCAAATAGAATTACGAGTCTTTAAAGGGCTCTTCAGGCAATGCCAGAACTTACTTCTGGAAGGCAGCGTTCTTTTGTTTTTTTTTCCTAAGAAGAAAACGAAGCCAGAACAATAATGAGACACCTATACTCAACTACCCATCAAATTACTAATGGCAATGACATCTGTAGTTGGTTCACTTGAAGTCCTCAAGAGACTTGCCTTTTAACAATGGTGGGAGAAGCACTGTATCCAAGTTCACATCATCCTTGACTGTGCAGACATAAAGTTCCTGGTCTTCTTCAGAACTGGCAGGAGAAATACTATACAGTGTGGATTTCATGGCACTGGCTGTAGGGAAAGAAGACTATGGCTGAGGAAAACATCATGCTCGGTGATTACAGTTTTAAAGGCACAAAAATACAAGAATTTGGTCAAGAAACTAAAAGGATGATGAATAGAGCGTATCACAGTTTAAGGTGGTTTATCCCACCCATCCTGCCTGTTCTCTAATTTTCTTACAAACTGACAACATTCTCTGTATCATATGGTGTCTTACAACTGCTCACTATTCTTGTTCACCTTACAATAACCCTCACTTCTATTATGTCACAACTCTAGGATGCCTTTCTTGATTTATATATATGTCTACCTTTTTTCCTCTCCCACTTCCCATTCAAATACTTAAGCCATCATTCTCACCAGTAATGTTCAATTGTCTATTTTGGATTCTCATCTGTATAAATCCTATTTCCCTATTCCCATCCCTGGGCTGTTCAAAAAGGAACTATTATAGATTGACTCAAGTTCTATGAGGCAAGTATTTAGTGTTTTCATCCTAGTCACATAATATCTGGGTAGCATGCTTAACTGGGAAAACCTAACGTGGCCTACAATGTCAGCAGGGAATAGGTACGTGCTTCATAAGGTTCAGGTGATGCCATGTTGAAGCATGAACCTCAGCAGCTGGACCTAGGAGGCTGAGTTTACCTGAGAGGGTCTCCCATTTGCTGTTCTCCTCCTCCTCCTTTTTTAGGTCATGAAAGAGCAAGATGTCCTTAGAGAGAAGGTCCTGGCATAGGACCTCACAGTAGAGGGGGTTTCCAAAGCACCTGCGGAGAAGGTAGCTGCAGAGAGGTAAACAGATTGTTGACTAACCTGCCCACTTGAAGGGAGCCAAGCATTAGGGTACTTGATACTGAGGACCCTTTCTTGTTTTGTTAAAGTTAGAGGGAAGCATTAACAGAGGGAAGGAGCAACACAAAAATGCAAAAACATAACTTGTATTTGGCTTTGAAGTGCATTTTCACAGTAATTTTTCTTTCTCAACTATTTGCTTCTATTGATGTTAACAGGAACTAATACCTCCTGCTAAAAGGCCTGGCAAGAGCTGGCTCGACCACATGTAATTCACGCAGTAAGCAAGCCATCTAAATCCTAACTGTACTGTGAAAACCTGGATGGATAGCCCAGGGAGGTGGCCCCTTACTGGTTTACTTGAATCTAGTCCTGGACCTCATCATGGTTACAACTGCCATTCTCTCTCCCAACTCCAGTAGGTGAGACCTAAGCCTTCTCCCTTATATTATGGCATTGGCTCCTCCCTTAATCAAGTGCCCAGCTAGTCCCAGCCACTCACATCTGCAGCTCTTGGGGGATGCTGACCACCCCCAGTTCCCAACATGCTATTCTCAACAGTGAGGTCGCTGCCAACATCAAAATGGGCATAAGGATAGCCTGAGGGCTCTGCAGGAAGTGCTGGGCCCAGCTACACAGGGTGAAGTTGGGGGTCAACGTCATCACCATGATGATGGGCACACTGGAGAGCAATGTGCCCAAAAACTCCCAGGAAGCTGCATCCATATACTGGGCCTCGTCAATGAGGAAAATCAGTGGTGTTTCCCTCACTGCCTGGAAATAACAGCAAAGAAATAATAACAACTACTGATTAGAAATGAAGTCACCTGATTTTTAAATCTACCATGAATTTCCCTCCAGTAATTTAAATAAAATGTCAACACAAGCTGGGGCTCTCAGAGTAATTTGTATCCTGAATCCAGCTAATATTTTATGAATATAAAATATGGTCTGTTTGTCTAATTCCTGAAGAAATGTACTGAGTTTCTTTAGACAAGAAATTAACTGAAAAATGAAATAAGCATCAAAATATTCTCCAAATCAAGGTTGAAGCTTCCAAATATTTCATTTTGGCAAAGGTTTCATCCTGTCTGGGAATTCCTCATACTTTAAGCCAGCAACTCCCAAATCAGGCTGCACATCAGAATCACCTGGGAGTGCTTGCTAAAAATACAAGTTACCAGACCCAATTTGTGTAGGCTGAAAAAAACAATGTATTCACTTATCCACATTGCCCATTCTCATTCCACTCCAACTGCTGCAGGTAACCATTCTGTGTTTAATGTATAACCTTCTGTTTGTATCTGCTCTTATAAAATGTATACTGTTGTTTTGTCAAGTGAATTGTTTTCACGGCAATGCTACTGTAATACAGATCACATTATTTCTCTGTTTTTATTCAGGCATGTCTTTAAGATCCCTCCATGTTGCCATGTTTTCATGCATTCCCTTACTTTTAACTTATGCATTAAATTCCACTGTATTCGTCCAAGTGTTCACATCAATACCTCCCTGGCCTCCACACACAAACACTGCAGTGAACGTGCTCCCTGGGATATATATCCAGGAGTGGAATTGCTGGGTCTAAAGGATGCATGTTATTAAAATTTGACTAGTTACTTCTAGAATGCTTTTCAGAATGGTTGCATCAGTTTCTACTCATACAGATTTTTTAATTTAGTAGTCCTGGAGTGGAGACTGAGTATCTGTATTTTCAGCATATAGTAGGTAAAATAGCTATTCACTTGCATTGAGAAATCACTGTTTTAAATTAAGTGATTAAAATTTCATTAAGAAACAGGAACAGAAAGAGCAAAGGCCTCTTCATGTATGCTGTGCTGTGCTGTAGGATGGATTCAAGGTTAAGGACAGATACAAATAGTGAAGATGTCAACAGTCAGGCAAAGGAATGTCTTAATCAAGGTGTGGTGTGGGTAGATTAAAATGAATATAAACCATCTCCACATAAAGAGAAAGTAGCAAAAGTACCCACCTCCTGAAGCACTTGAATAAAACACGCTTTAACCTTCTTTTGTCTGGCCAGGTCATCCATGCGTGAAACTTTGAAGGATAAGGGGAACTGACCAGGAAAATTATTTATATATTAGTATTCAAAATTACAATTTAATAAAAACATTCACGTTCTCCAAAGGGAACAGAAAACTATTATATTTTGACTGAGGAAGGGTTTCTGCAGGATTGAGCATAATGCTACCAATGCTGATCCAACATCAGTGTACAGTTCAGAGGGTGAGAATCAAAGTCCACTGTGGGTTAGAGACAGAGATCTTCTTTCTATACTAGACTCTGGAATATCGTTAAAGGGTGATGACTAAAGAGTAATGTGACAGGTCACAATGTCACTTTGGACAGCTCCAGTACTCTGGATGAATCTGTACATGAGACTTGTTAGAAAGAGACGCCACAGACATCTCTGACCATTTTCTGTGCTATGTGGAGGCACGTAAGCTACCACAGACCCTGAGTAGCCAAAGTGAGATTACTCTTCTACTGTACTCCTTCAGCAAAGTCAGAACCCCAGTCCGAGGCCTGTCTTCAGAGAGGGGTATGATGAGGGATTGGACAAATTATAGTTTTCTCTATTTTCCATTAAATACTGTACCCTGCAGTGTGGGTAGCTTAACAGGATGGAGGACGAGTAAATCAAATTATGGACCAGGGAATTCTAAGCCTGCTCACTTTTGGGTATCACATAAACCAAAGACCAGTGGAAGCTTCTGAGATTCAGACGATCGTTAAAGTGATATACTCTGTGGCTTGGGAACAGGGAGGTAGGATTAAAGAATAAAAATTACAACTGACTCAAGAAGACACAAATATACTTGCTGGAGATGCTTTACTGGTCAAGATCGCCTCAATATATTTAGCACTTTAAAATTTACAGTGCAATCTCTTATATACTATCTCTTTTAAAATTAATATAAAAATCATATAAAATACTATTATTACCATTTCTTACCATTTCACAGAAAAAAACTGAGGCCCAGAAAGACTAACTGATTTGCTCCAGGACATACAACTAGCAAGTGGCAGAGTCATTCCTAGAATCCACTTTCCTTATAATGGAGAAAGCCCAGGTTTCGGTGTCAAAGGGATTTCAAATCTCAACCCTGCCATTACTATGTGTTCTTTGGATATATAGATATATAGACATATACATACACAAATAAATCTCTGGCTTTATAATCTGTAAGTTGTGGATAAATCTACTTCTCAGAGTAGCAATGAGGATTAAATGAGATAATACATGCAAAGTGACTGGCACAGTTGTTGGCATACGTTGGGAATTCGATAAATGTTTGTTCCCTTCCAACTCAGTTTTTCTACTTCATGAGACAATCATCTTAGAATAGAAAAAAGGAATATAAAAGGTGTAAAGTTAAAAAACAAGTAGCCATGGACTAAGTGTCTTATATTAGAAGACAGAATGACTCCTGGATCCAACTATCCACAAAAAATAACATCAGTAACACAATTCAGGAAGCCACTGCCTTCATTACCTTCACAAAGAAGAGGTCATTAAAAAGGCAGTGAAGTGGTTCCTCCACCATCCCACGGAGCTGTCTGTGAAGGCACTCTTGCCGGTAGTAGGATGGGCATATATCAATCTCAAAGAAGATGGCCATGAGAGTCTGGATGGCATAGAAGCACTGCTTGGAATCTGCTTCCTTCAGCTTCAATGGCAACACCCTGGTGAATGTCACTACTGTCACCAGGGATCCCTTGACCCATAGAGAGGTTACTTACTCTACCAGCCCAAGGATATGGAATCTAATGATATAAGAATCCCACCAACAAGGGAAAGAAGCCCCAAGAGAAGTAGGATCTGACTACATCAGAAAGCAGGAGTCTTTACCTGTGGCCTTCCTTCTGGGCCAGGAAGTTTATTTCAGCCAACAGCTGGCTTTTTCCATAGCCTTTTCCGCCTTCATAGAGAATCGCTTGCCCCTTCTTCTGGTACAAACACCCTTGCTGTGCCACTCGGAAGGCTTCTAGTTCTTTCTCCCGGTCTGTAGGGAGACAGAGAGTACTTAACACTCTTGAATTTTTTTTTAGTAGACATTCTATTCATTTAATTCAAATTAATTTGCAAAGTTAAGTCTCAGAATGGCTCTTTTTCCCCCAGAATTCTTGGTAGAACCCTATTCTTTGATGGGGCTTCACATTTTTTCTAAAAAATCAACTCAGGACTATACAGAAATGTGTGTTGATCTTGAGGGTTTGATCAGAACTTAAGTGATAGCATTCAGAACAATTAGGTACCACGTGGACATGGGGGCAACTATATCTTCTTAGTTCTTTGTAAAAATTTCCATAATAATCATTTAAAATCTTCAAGTTTGTCAATGTCATGTAAAGATAATCCATTAACAAATATAGATAAAATGTAAATAAAGATAGGGAATATACAATGTAGGTGGCAAGAGTCTTGGTGCTACCTTCACTGTTGTTGTTGTTATGTGCTGTTGAGTCGATTCCGACTCATAGCAACCCCACATACAATAGAATGAAATGCTGCCTGGTCCTGCAACATCCTCACAATCGTTGCTATATCTGAGCCCATCGTTGCAGCCACTGTGTCAATTTACCTTGTTGAGGGTCTTCCTCTTTTTTGCTGACCCTCTACTTTACCAGCATAATGTCCTTTCACAGGGATTGGTCTTTCCTGACAACATGTTCAAAGTGAGTGAGTCGAAGTCTCACCATCCTTGCTTCTAAGGAGCATCCTGGCTGTACTTCTTTCAAGACAGATTTGTTTGTTCTTCTGGCAGTCAATGGTATACATCCACTCCTCACTTATTGACATGGTTAGGTTCCAAAGACCAGGTCATTATGCAAAAATTGGCATTACGCAAGAATGGAGGATGACCATATCAGATCACAAAATGTAGGAAGACTACATCATTATTACATAACTGCCAAATTACATCATCATGCAACTGCCAAAGCACTGAGAAACTTGGCCCAGCCCAGATGACACGTAACCTTAAACATTACAGCCAGTGTTACTCTCACCTCACACTTTGGTGTTCATTATTGCCAGACGTACACTGTCAACATGCAAAATAGTTGAATAGATATTTCACTATTGTCGTAAATGTGAAATGTCAGATAACAAGACAGTCGATAAATGAGGAATAGATGTATTCAATATTCTTTACCAATACCATAAACTAAATGCATTACTTCTTCTTCAGTCCTCCTTATTCACTGTACAACTTTCACATGCATATGAGGCAACTGAAAATACCATGGCTTGGGTCAGGCGCACCTTAGTCCTCAAAGTGACATCTTTGCTTTTTAACACTTTAAAAAGATCTTTTGCAGTAGATTTGCCCAACGCAATACGACATTTGATTTCTTGACTACTGCTTCCATGGGCATCGATTGTGGATCCAAGTAAAATGAAATCACTGACAACTTCAATCTTTTCTCCATTTATAACGATGTTGCTTATTGGTCCAGTTGTAAGGATTTTTGTTTTCTTTATATTGAGGTGTAATCCATAATGAAGACTGTAGTCTTCGATCTTCAACAGTAAGTGCTTCAAGTCCTCTTCACTTTCAGCAAGCAAGACTGTGTCATCTTCATATCTCAGGTTGTTAATAAGTCTTCCTCCAATCCTGATGCTGTGTTCATCTTCATATAGTCCAGCTTCTCGGATTATTTGCTCAACATACAGATTGAATAAGTATGGTGAAAGGATACGACCCTGACACATACATTTTCTGATTTTAAACCACCCTAAGGCTGGGAAATTTACCTCTAAAGAAGATCCACAACAAGCTGGTCCAGCACTCAGTGGGTAAACTCTGACTTTCAAAGATTCTTCTTACATGTTGCTACTTCTCAGGCAGAGCGATTGGACTCTACCTGGTAGCTGAATATTCAATGCATTAAAAAAATGGTAGATCCTCTTCAAAATGAACATAAATTCATTAAGAGGGCTGCTCTCTTTGTTTTTTAATACAATTATAGAAGCATTCAGTCTTTCGTTTTGTTTGTTTTTTAAAACACATTTAGTCGTCTATGGCTGACAAAAATATGATTTAAGTCAGAAAAGAAAACTTACCTAATAAAGGCTGATTTTTATCTCTCTTTCTGAACAAATGTCTCTTCCCAAACATTCTGGGGAAAAGAACAAAGGGAACTATGTCTATTAAAAATTATTTTAAGAACAAATTGTCCCCCTAAGAAAGTACTTTCACACAACTAAAGAGGTACAGAGCTCTGGACATAGGGATTTTTAAAAAAAATTGTAGGAGGAGGGAGAAGTATTATTGATTATTCTAGGTTCAGGAAAGTGAATAAATTGTGAAGGACACAAAGGGAAAAAAAACCCTGGCTTAGTGACTTAATGCGTTCTCTTCCTGTTAGAGAGCAAGAAATTCATTGAGGAACAAGCTAAGAGCAAACATAAAGCTAAAGATCTCATAAGATCCCTTATGTTCCCTATTCTGGCAGGCCAGTGCTAGTAGCATCTTTCTTTCTAATTTCTTACAACTGAATACCTATTTTTCCTATGCCCTGGAAAAGATGGGAATGAACTATCACACAATGACACTCACACACATCTTCTATGGCCAAGGTATTCATACATCTTCCCTGGGTTGGAGATGTTTTTCATCATCTTCTCTGGGAGTTTCTTGAAGTTATAAGCAGGTAACATGGATCTTAGATATGTGACCTCATCACAGGATACCAATCCTGGGTAAGCAGTTATCATTCTGGCCACTAGGCTCACTTTTGGGCCAATAACTGTGTCAGTGAGACAGGAAAGAGAAGAGTAAAGAATTTTTGGACCACCTCCTCTACCTTCATCCCTTAAGTCACAGAGTTAACAGTTCAATGTCCTAGTCTACCTGTATATTCATGTCTTGCTACTGCCCCAACCACGCCACAGAATACTGGTCCATTGGTGATACTGATGGAAACAAGCCTAGGGATCGATCAGAAAAGCAACAATGGGTAAACTGTCAGAATTTACCTCCAAGTCAGAAGCTTCCATGTGAGGTACTAGATCTGCCACTCTCTAGATCCAGAAGTAGAACTTAGAACAATAAAGGTCAGGGGCTGCTGTCAGTTTACATATGATGGATATAAAATACTGAATATTAGGGAGATAATCCAAATGAACACAATAGTCCCCTACTCTAGTTTTAGTTGGGGGGTCATTATTAGTAAAAAGATAAAAAAAAAAAAATCTGTCAGATATTTTAGATCTGCTTTTTTAAACACTTTCAAATTGATTATCTCATCTAATCCTTTGACAAAAGAAAAAACAGAAGGAGCTAATTAACTTCCCCAGCAAAAATTAATAGCAGAATCAGAATGAAAATCCAGGCCTCCTGACTCCTAGACCAATGCTATTTCCACTATATCATCCCCACTGCCTCAGATAAAACCCAAAATTAATGTTAATACAAGGTTAATAGATCAAATAATGTTAGAATGTTTGAGTGAAGGAATCATAAGAACATCAGGACTGCTAATGGAAGATTTCTTGAAGCAAATTCATCTTTGGAATACATTTTTAACGCATAATATTTGTTCAAATGGATGTATACATTCTATTCACTCAACAAGCATTGAGAAGTACTTACAGTACCAAATACTGGGCTGGATGTTTAAAATACTCTGCCCTGGAGACGTTCAGTCTCCAGAACTAAAGGAGATGAAGACATAGTTACAGGTCAGCAAGACAAATCTATATATTAGAGATTACTACAGCCTGTTAATAGAACAAAGAGAAAGGATGTAGTAACTCATACTGGAGGGTAGAAAGAGCTCTCATAAAGAGGACTTTCCATCTGGACCTTGAAAATTGAAGATACTGCCAAAGTGGGGTACCAGCATTCTATCCAGTGGGAAAAGGCACCCGGGCTCTGAAAAGCCTGGTGTGTTTGTGCAAAACTAAGTAGTTCAAGACAACCAGAGCAAAGGAGTTTGGAACACGGAGAGAAGTGAGAAGTTGTCCTACCTAGGCCAGGAGGAAAAGTATTAGGGATATGAATTATTAAAAAAAGGAGGGGGCATGTAAACTGCTTCAGGTGTGGTGAAGACAAAGGTGGCAATGAGCAAGTCAGACAAAACAGAGAATAAGCAGATTTACTCGGCTGATGCGAAGATTTCATGTGACAGGTAGTAAGATATGTGAATGGAGGAAGGGTGCAATGAGACATAACTAGTTTCATGTTAAATGAACCAATAAACTATTTTTAGTTGTTCAGAGAGTAGGAAAAGTGGCAACAATCTTAACATTATTGTCTCCTAAGCCATCCAAACACTCCTGCCTAGCTGTAAGGATAGGAACGAGGGCTCTGATCATTCATTCACTGGGCCCACTGCTCATGGTGGGAAAGATACACCCAAGACAAGAATCAGGCAGTTGTTTCTGCTGCCACACCAAGAGCAAGACTGAAAATCTTCTAGTGCTTCATGCTGCTTCCTCTGCCTAAAATGCTTTCCCATTTTCTCCACCTGCGAACTCCTCCTTACCTTCCCAACCAGGCTCAACAGTCATCTCTATAGTCAAGATTTCCCTGGTGCCTCCAAGGAGAACAAACTACTTCCTCCCGTTGCACTTTGTTGCAGCTCCTACAGCATTTTATTTCTGCACTTAAATTTGACCGTATTAAATTTAGTTGCTTACTTAGCTGAGGAGATGGCATCTTATTTACGTCCACAGCTCCTAGTACAGTGCCTAGCTCATAGTTGTGCTCAGTTAATGCTTGTTGAATGAATGCATTTATGCATACAAGATACTTAGTTATTAATGAAATGATAATAATACTTTTCTCACTTGGTTATTTATTTTTTTTTATTGTGCTTTATAATTTCCTCCTGCTCTTCCTGACAGTCCATGTTCCTTCCTTCTTTGAAAACCCTTCCATTGAAAAAGAATTACTTTTTCACTCAATATATATGTAAATATATGTCATGTGTTTCTGGTGTTGTAAAACCATAATGACGAGATTCTGAGACTCCCTGGACCTTAAAAGTATCCTGAAGAAACAGTCATAAACCAGAAAAGGCTTGATCTATCACTGGACTCAGGGAATCATCTTTCTTTTGTAAATGGGCTGAAAATTGAGGTATTTCTCACATTAGATAGAGAAACTTAGAAGGTGAAAAAGGAGGTATGGAATGTGGTTTTGGTCCTAGATGAGAGCTGATGTCATGCAGAGAGGCACAAGCAAAGGTATCTGCTACTGAGGCCACGCAGACACCTCTAAGACTAAGTCTCTACACTTCAGTTACAGGTGAAGAAGCCAAGTTCCAGCATCTGGTTAGTGCAGCAATTCCCAAAACATGTTTCTCAGAACACTAGTTCTTCTGGACATTAATGGGGTTTTTCTGGAGAAAAGTGTTAGACGATCAAGTAAATTTGGGAAATGTTGGGTAAAACCAAAGATAACAGATTTCTTTACTGCAAGACTACTCAGAACTGTTATGTTAATGTATACTGTGAACCTCCAAGAAGGAAATATAGTTTGCTTCACTTCCCATATTTTTTTTCATGAGTATATTAGAGACTAGTCTTTCATAAAACACACTTTGGAAAATACTAAATTACTGATTATGCTTCAAGGAAAAAACACTGACCTTGATACCTAGTCTTCAGGCTCTGACATGATCAAGCTATTTGGCTTACTAACATAACCTCTCTAGATTTTAGTTTCCTTAAATTAAGGACGTCAGACCAGTTGAACTCTAAGATCTCATCTAGCTCTTGAAATCTATTATATTCTAAACCAAATTAGATCCAATGGACCAAGTTAGGGCCTAAAAGTCACAGAAGGCATACTTAAGGGTACTGTAAGACAGTCATTAAGGGCCAAAGAAATGCTTATCTCAATCAGGGCTAAGGGCCAAGGGCAGGACCCTTGAAGGCCACAGATCGATGCAAAATTCAAGAACAGAATATATCTGCACTAGAAGGGATCGCCCAGCACACCCGTACTGGAGATAAGACTAGGAGGTAGGTTGTAGGAATACCTGCGGATACCACCAAGCCTGAAAGAAGTGCCAACACACCTGCTTTGGGCTAAAAGTTTGACTATCTATCAAGCAACTGCAGAATCTTTGTTATCTGTAAAATAAGGAGGTAGATCAGATTCCTTTCTAGTACTAACATTCTATGACAATGTCTCTACAGTTATACCACATTAGTAATGTATGTTATCCCTTTCAGGAAGTATTTTGCATTTTGTAAGAGGCAGCCATAGGTTAATGGAGGAAGAAAAAAAAAACAAAAACCCACAAGATTTGAAGATAGAAGATCTGGTTTTCATTATTAGTTCTGCTATTTGCTAGCAACTTCTCCTCTATGGCATTTGTTTCCTCATACATAAAAGAGGGATAAAATATTTCACACTAATAGAATCTACAAAAGTATTTTACAAATTTTAAAGCACTATATACATGTATGATATTGTTTTTATTCAATTAAGTTATGGAAAGCAAATTAATCTTTGGCTCAATGTTAACATTGGAAATAACTGCTTTCAAACTTGTTCGTGTATATACTTTCCCCATAGTTTTCTAGTAAAGAAAAGTCATTTGAAAAATTCCATTCAACTCTGTCATAGTGAAATTAGTGAGAAAATGGATTTTTCTATACCTTCTTTAGAACTAGGTTTGTGTGGAAGGGGTCGGGGGGATGAGTGTGGAGGTCCTAGTGTGAGAACCTGTGTAAGGTACACAAAAAGCAGTGGGATCTGGGACAGACCAAGAGTGAAAGCCAAGGAAGAAGCTAACCAATTGTGGTCTCTTCTTATCTAGGAAACTGCCCCACAACTTCTCTGCTATCCTCCTGTAAATGGGCAGCCTTCGTTCTACCTCTCCTCCACATACAGGTATATAGCTTGCACTCTAGTAATTTATAGATTTGCTTGTTCCTTTGCAGTGTTCTTGAATCTTGCTATATGAGTTCTGTTTCCCTCACTGGGTAGAAACTTATCTTTATTTTCCCTGCGTATTCACTACAGAGTTCTGTACCTAGAGATTTCTTAATAAATCTTGTTTGCTGGCTTCTCTTAGCATGTTCCCTCCCCTTTATGAACATTCTGGATGTCCTCTACTCCTGCCACTTGTCACTGCCTCCTACCCTGCCCAAAAAATCCCTGGGGCCTGAGAAGCTCCTCTCTGCCCCACCTTCCTCCTCACTTGGTCTCAGCAAGATTCTCCCAGCAGAAGCTGAAGATGCTGAAGGAGCTCTCCAGGGCATGGGCACACTCATCTGGCTTCTTATCTCCAGGAAGGCCAAAAATACAGAGGAACATGCAGCCCTGGAATAGATGAAAAAGAAGGAAAAGGGATGTTTCCTTGGGGGAAGGAATATTGGCTTGCCTCAGCTGAACCAACTCCTTGAATGAAGCCAGATTCTTTCCTAACTGGTCTTCTTTAGGAACAGAGGATTCTACAAGATTCATGAAAAGGACACTCTGGACCACATCAACATGGAAATTTAAAAAATGCAATAAAATCTTGATTTAACTGAACTCCTACTAACAACTCAGCAAACTGCAACTGAAAACACAAGAAAGGCTGATACTAAGAATTTTTTAAAAATTCAGTTTCTAGCATACACCTTATAGGTAGGTCTATCTATCTACATTTTCTTCACTTGTAATGTCAAATATTTTAATGTGGCTCCTCTCCAAGATCCTCAATTATCAGAGAAATATCTGGCTATATTCACTATCCAGAAAACATTCTTTATCCTCTCATAAGGGTTTTTCAACAAGAAATTGAATTGAAAAATATATGGAGGTTAACTATGGGAGTTCAATTAACTAGAACACCCCATTCCTTAACTATTATTAGTTGAAGTTTGAATGTAATAAAGCTTGTAACAAAGTAAGCAGCAAGTAATATAACACATTAACACTGACTTCCGCCTGTGTTATGAGAGATAAACTGGTCGCACAGACTATTATTCCTCACTCACCTTTAATGCTGATGGGTCAAGTTCCCTTGTACTTACTTTCTCAAACATAAAGATCCGGCTCAGCTGGCCACCCCCTTTCTCAATGGCTGTGGAGATGTATAAAGCAGCCTCCTGGATAAGATGACACAAATGCAACATCCACGCTGTCTTGTGGAACTCTAAGCTGACCAAAACAATAGTCACAGTACGAAATTCGGATACATACTCCATAGGTTGGCCTTCATCAATCTGCAAAGGTATAGAAAGTTACCTTGTCTATATCTTCAACTCTTGGCATCATGTTTAGGCATTTTAAGTCTATATCCCATGGTGAGTATGGGAAAATAACTTACAGGTGTCAGGCGAAAACTTAAAAGAAAATTCAGCTTCAAGAGATACAGCAGACATACAAACCAGTGTACCTGCTTATCTGACTTAAAGGAGCCCTGGTGGCACAGTGGTTAAAGTGATCAACTGCTTAACCAAAGGTCAATGGTTTGAAACCACCAGTGGCTCCACAGCAGAAAGATGTGGCAGTTTGCTTCCGTAGAGATTTACAGTCTCGGAAACCCTATGGGGTCACTATGAGTCAGAATCGACTCAACAATGGGTTTTGGGTTTTTATTTGACTTTAAACCTAATTCACTGATGAAATTTGCCAGGCTTTTATATTTTCTAAGTGTTAGCCTGATATATCCAACTCCATGAGTCATTATATCACTTACAAAGAGATTCACACATATGCATATATACAAAATCTATCAACATATATTTACCAAACTGTATGCTATACCCTATATCCTGCTTGTATTGTATCAGGTTCTTGAGGGGCAAACTGAAAAACAATACAGCTTCTGTTTTCTAGGACTGAGCAACCTAACTCAAGTTATAAGACATGCCATCACAGCAATTACACTGATGTATATGGGGAAATCTGTTGGGATTACAATGAGAAGCAGGAGACGAACTGTCTCAATACAAAAAGGTCATCACATATACATGTTTACAAACACACACACAGTCTATAATGTGACTCAAAAACTAGGAAACTAGGGAAAAAACCTTCTTCAAAAGGTTTTTCATTATGTGCTTCCGCAGGGTTTGCTCAAGTGCAGAGTCTGGATCCAATTCTAGTGCAGTTCTTAGAGTGTCTAAGAAAGAGAAAACAAACAAAATGTCTTAGGCCATAAAAATTAATCTTTAAAGTTTGGGGCTTGGGTAGATAGGAACAAGTAACTCACCAGCACTTGTACGGTAATGCGGCAGATAATCCAGGCACTTGTCAAAATGCTCATCAAAATCAAATGGGTCAATGATCCGCATATCTCTTAACTAAAGAAAAGAAATAAAGCTGTTCAATTTTGTGGCTACCCACCAACTTGATCATCTTTGTTTCTATAACAGAGGGGCTAAAGACTCTACCTCCCTTGTTTACCCTTTATCTCCCAGCCTTACTGTTCTGCCTTGTCTATCTTTCTGGAAGAATGTCCCCAGCCTCCCTCCAAACCAGCTCCAGTGGTTGTTGGTTTGGTCAGGCAATATGTAAGCACCACAAGACCACTGTCCTGTGTAGCAGAAAGGCCTTTGCAGGATGTGTAACAGGTGGGCTGGCCTCCTACCTTCACAGCTTCATCCTCCCTCATGATTTCCACTTCAAACATGTACTGCTCACAGAGCTTCCAGCAGTTCCAGGACAAGACAATTTCATTTGCCTGAGCCAAACGCTGAGCTAACTGGACACCGTCTACATCCCGCCCAATGACCAAGAGGTACTGCCGCTGCTCGTCTCCGATAATGACCTGGGAAATCCGACCTGCAGACAGACCTATCGAGAAAAAAGGAGACAAGTGGAGAACAGCCAAACTCAATTAGAAAACTATGTAAAGGGCAGGGCATGGAATCTTCACATGGCTCTATGCAAATTTGGGAAAATGACTATGTCTTTTTGAGTACCATTATGTTCAGGTGTAAAAACAAGGAAAAACCCTAATATTTCCAGACTAATAGTTTTTAGAAGGAGCCCTGGTGGCACACTGGTTAAAGCGATCACTGCTAACCAAAAGGTTAACAGTTCGAAACTACCAGCGGCTCTGTGGGAGAAAGATGTGGCAGTCTGCTTCCATAAGGATTTACAGCCTTGGAAACTCTATGGGGTTGTTATGAGTCAGAACAGACTTGACATCAGTGGGGGTTTAATACTTTTTAAAATCCCTAATGACAAGGATATTGAAAATCCAAAGTTCAAAACATCATGCCAATCTGCCTTCATTTGCAGAGGTCTTCTATGAGCTTACCTTTAAAAATAACACCTTGCCCCAGATTTCCATCTGTCTTAAACATACCTAAAGACAGACATTCAAACAAGCCTGAGTTGTGTGGGAGAAGACACAAGGGATCCTAGCCTCCAAGTGTCTCTAAATTGCTCCTTTAATAGACAGCTAGGTCTTCATGGCAGACAACTTAGAAAGGATACCAAATTGTTATACTCAGAAGCTGCTGCCACAGTTCCAGAGCAGAAAAGCATCATTTAATCTAGCATACTAACATCCCTCCTCAGGTGTAACCAAAGCCGAGTGAGTAGGCAATCATTATTTTACCAGACATGGGCCTTACCATCTTTTACTCTTATCTCCTTTTTTTTTTGGCCCTGGGAGATTTCTTATTGCTAATACAGCTGAATTTTTTTTTCCTTTTTTTTTTTAATTTTCATTTATTTTTTTATTGTACTTCAGGTGAAGGCTTACAGAACAGATCTGTTTAAGTACACGTTATTTTATGACATTGGTTAACAACCCCACAACATATCAACCCTCTAACTTCTCAACCTCTTTTTTTTTT